ATGCATTGGGGGGGACAAGCCAGGGTTAGGGGTATGCATTGGGGGGGACAAGCCAGGGTTAGGGGTATGCATTGGGGGGGACAAGCCAGGGTTAGGGGTATGCATTGGGGGGGACAAGCCAGGGTTAGGGGTATGCATTGGGGGGGACAAGCCAGGGTTAGGGGTATGCATTGGGGGGGACAAGCCAGGGTTAGGGGTATGCATTGGGGGGGACAAGCCAGGGTTAGGGGTATGCATTGGGGGGGACAAGCCAGGGTTAGGGGTATGCATTGGGGTGGGGGACCGGGGTTAGGGGTATGCATTGGTGGGGGGGACCGGGGTTAGGGGTATGCATTGGTGGGGGGGGGGCCGGGGGTAGGGGTATGCATTGGGTGGGGGGGTGGGGGTTAGGGGTATTCGGGGGGGGGGGGGGGGTGGGGGGGGGGGGGGGGGAGGGAAGGAGGGGGGGGAGAGGGGTGGGGGGGGGGGGGGGGGGCCAGGGGCCAGGGGAAAGAGTATAATATGGGAGAGTTGAGCCTAAATTCAGATGTGGTGTTCTAAGTCGGGAGGAGGGAGTATATGAGGGAGCAAGGGGTGCAGATGAAGGTAAGAGTGGGAAAGGATGGAGGATGAGATACATGGGGGTGCAGGAGTAAGTTGGGGGGTAACAAGTTGAGGATGAATGAGGAGGTGGATGGAATGAGGAGGTGGAGGGTATGAGGTTGCTGGGGAGTGACGGGGGGGGGGGGAGGTGTTATGAGTCGGGAGGAGAGGACTGGGTGAGTGGTGTGGGGAAAGAGTAGGGGCGGGAAAGATGAGGGAGGCGATCAGAGCGAATGGAGGGAAGTGAGTTGAAGGTGAATGGGAGGGGTGAGGGTGAGGGGTTACGGAAGGAGGGTTGAAGGTGAGAGGGATGGGATGAGAGGGGGAAGAAGTAGGGGGAGGGGGTGAGGAGGAGTGTGGTCGAGGGTAGGAAGAGTGGGTGGAGAGATGTAGGGGAAGGGTTGGGAGATGGCAGGAGTGGGGACAGGTGTAAGGGAGGCAAGGTGGGAGTAGTGGTGGGAGGGCAATGGATGGATCACCTGATCCAGGGAATCATCTCAAATACCTTGAAGCAATGTAATTTAAGTGATATGTGGCAGGGTGCATTTTGTACAACCAATTGAAAAACAATGACAAAAATGTCTGAGCATCAACTGCAGAGCGGGAGAGAATCCAAGTTAAAATTTCAGAATGGTATTGAAAGACCTCTGTTGACCCCTCTGTGTAAGATCCCAGAGGGGCGAGTTTTTATTCCCTCCTAACATCTGACACATCTATTCTCTCTCTCTCTCCAGGTTGAATGCCACTACTCACTACCTGTCTTTTCACCTTCAGCAGAGCTGCTCTGTGCCTCTTGTACAAGTGAAGTGAGTGAGTAATGTTTTTACAAGGACACACAAACGTTTAAGGGATTGGGACAGTATGTATTCCTTTTTTTGTCATTGTGTCTTCAGCTTAAATTCCACTGAACTGGTATATTCCCATAAATTCGACCAATCTCATCATCCATCCCCACCTTCCATGAAAACTAGGAGCAGGAGGAGGCCATTCAGCCCCTCATAACGTGCTTCGCCATTTGATACGGTCATGACTGATCTCTTCTCAGCCTCAACTCCACTTCCCTGCCTGCTCTCCATAATGCTTCAACCCATTATTTTTAAACATTTGTCTTATCACCTCCTTAAATTTATTCAATATGCCAGCGTCCATTGAACTCGGGGGTAGTGAACTCCACAGATTCACAACCCTTTGGGGAGGTGATGGCTTAGTGATATTATTGCTGGACTGTTAATCCAGAGACCCAGGTGATGTTCTGGGAGCTGGCTCCGAAACCTGCCACAGCAGATGGTAGAATTTGAATTCAATAAATTTGTGGAATTAGCAATCTAATTATGACCCTGAAACCATTGCTGATTGTTGGAAAAACCCATCCAGTTCTCTCATGTCCTTTAGGGAAGGAAGCTGCCATCTGGTCTGGACTACATATGACTCCAGACCCACGACAATATGATTGACTCTCAACTGCCTTCTCGGATGGGCAATAAAAGCCACCAATGCCCTCATCCTGTGAATGAATAAAAATAATTTCTTCTCATCTCTGTTTTAAATCTGCTAACCCTCATTCTAAAATTATGACCTATTGTTCTAGATTGCCCAACGAGGAAATGTTCTTTCTACATTTACTCTGTCAGTCCCCTCAGTTAGATCTCCCCTCATTCTTCTAAACTCCAGAAATATAGGCCTAAACTGCTCAAACTGTCTTCATAAGACAAGCACCTCATCTCTGGAATCAATCTAGTGAACATCCTCTTAACTGTCTCCATGACAACTATCCCTCAAGGGTAACAAAATTCTATGCAGTCTCACTAATGCCTTGTACGGTTGCAGCAATACTTCCCTACTTTTATACTCTATTCCTTTAACAATAAATGCCATAATTCCATACGCCTTCCTTAATACCTGCTGTACTAGCATACTACTTTTCTACTCAAAATGCTGAAATTGATGTCACAAAGAAACTTCCAAGGTGTTTCATGGTTTTGATTCAGCAATAACAATAGAACAGTGTTAAGTATTCAACGTGTCACGTGTCAAGGGAGGGACCTGAAAGCTATGATGTGCCCTTGCTCCTTAAAACCCAAATCCTGATAGAGCGTCCATTTTCTTTGTCCCTCATCAAAATGCCTTGGGATGTTGTTCAAAGCTGAAGATGCTGTGTCCTCATCTTTGGAGATTCTCAAGCTGTTCTCTGCATGTTCCATTTTACCAGTTTTGGATTCACTGTGCTCCTCAAATTTGACCCCTGTGAGAACCACATATATTCACTGGCATCTGTTGAGTTAGTTTACTGCCCTTGAATCTTATCCATACCAGCTTCCAGCATCACTTTTTTTTGCATCTGAATCAAGATTATAAAACTAAGTGCATTTCCAAATGCACAACTATCCAGCCTTTGGTCCTCTATTGGCGATCATTTATCTACAGTTAACAGTCTGTTTTTGAGATTTTGATGTTTCTGGAGTTATAATCCAGAGGCCCTGGCTATAGATTCACATCCAGCATAGAAGCAGGCAGATTTTAAATTCAATTAATGATAAATCTTGAATTACATGCTAGCCTCAGTAACGATGACTGTGAAACTTTCATCAGTTGTCATAAAAACCCATCTGGTTCATTAATGTTCTTCAGTGTAATGTAATCTGCCATCCTTACCCAGTCTGGCCTACACGTGACTCCAGACCCACAGTGATGTGTTTGACTCTTATCTGTCTGTTCCACTCAGTTCAAGGGTAATTAGGAATGGCCAATAAATCCTGCCCTTTTAAATGTATAAACAATTGGAACAAAGGACAAAAAATGTTGGAATCACTTTTACAGAGAGAGAAGCTTGTAAAACTTCAAGTTAATAAGGAAATATTACCTTTGCCCATGTCCTGTGAGAGGATGGAATCAGAGATAAATGTAGGTGGCAGCTGTGTGTGCAGTTCTCTTTGTCCCATGAGCTTCAGTGTCAGGATTCAACCTGCATTCATTATCCCCAGAATTGGAATGACATTGAAGAACTGGCTTCATTTGGTGGCCAGCATATTCTCTGGGTCACTGAGCAATTTCTCAGGAGATTGCCGCACGTATATCGATGATCTTCCATGTATTAAATGACGTACGTCTATACACACTTCCAGTGTTAGTGTTTTGAAGCTAATCAGGAATCAAACTTGTTGTTTATGGCCCTGTACCACACTTGCAGATCAGTTTCCTGTCATGCTGTGAAGGAAAGTGTGGTCATATCTTTTCCTTGGTGTTGAACCTGAATGCTAATCCTTTGGACTTTGAAATGTGAGGACAAATCCAATGCGTGTTTTTTTTAGGCACATGCCAGAAGTCAACCTGTGTAAACAACAAAAGGGAAAATCAGGCAGTATCTGGAGGAAAGGAGAAGTCACTGTTGACTTCTCAATACGTTGACTTCTCCTTTCCTCCAGATGCTGCCTGGCTTGCTTGTTCTTCTAGCCTCCTTTTTGTGTACCTTGGATTCCAGCATCTGCAGTTTTTTTTTGTCTCTAAAAGGAAAAATCAGTCTGCTAGCCCCACTGTAGCCTTGCACCAGGTTTCACACATCCTACATTGATCCCTGATCCAGCAGTACCTTGATTTTAATATTTCTGTCCTTGTTTTCAAAGCTCTCCATGGATTTGACCCCTCCCAATCTCTGAAGCCCTCCACAATTTCTGTATTCCTCCAATTCTGGCCTCTTGAATATCTCCAATTTTAATTGGCAACTGTGCCTTCAGCTGTCTGGTTCCTAAGTTTCAAAATTCTACTCCCCCATTAATCCTCTCTGCCTTTCTAACTCTCTCTTTTAAGGCATTCCTTATAAGCTTCCTCTTTGGCCAAGATTTTGGCCTAATCTGCCTGTCTATCTCTCATCATCCTGTAGCTTGGTGTCACATTACGTTTGGTGACGTCTGTGAAATGCCTTGGGTTGCTTTACTGCATTCTAGGTTCTAATTAAATGTGGCATATTGTTGAAAGCTGGCCTGTTCAATTGGAATCACTTTCTGTTTCTCTTCAGACTTGCTATTTTGTGTAACTTGTGTCACGTTAAGAATCCAGGATGTGGCATGAGGCTCGGAAACACGAGCGGAAACTGCGCGGGATGATGGTGGATTACAAGAAACGGGCTGAGCGACGCAGGGAGTACTACGAGAAGATAGTGAGTTTGCCACCATGTTGTAACGTCCACTCTTCCAATTTGGATAACCGTAGGAGGTTGAGGGGTGACCATGTAGAGGTTCATAAAATTATGAGGGGCGTAGATAAGGTGAATAGTCAAAGGTATTTTTCCTAGTGCGGGGGAGTTCAAAACCAAGGGGCATATTTTTAAGGTGAGAGGAGAAAGCTTTAAAAAGGACATGAGGTGCAACTTTTTTCACACAGTGGTTCGTGTGTGAAATGAACTGCCAGAGGAAGTGCAGGATGCAGGTACAGTTACAACATTTTAAAAGACATTTGGATAAGTACATGGATAGGAAAGGTTTGGGGGGATATGGACCAAATGCAGGCAAATGGGACTAGTTTAGTTTGGGAACATGGTTAGGGTAGACTTGTTGGCCTGACGGGTCTGCTTCCTTGCTGTACAATTCTATAATGTCGGGGTTAGTTGACGTTAAAACGTGGCTTTGAAAATTCTTTTCCCAATGTAAGCAACATTCTGCCATCTTTGATTTCCAGAAAAAAGATCCAGCGCAGTTTCTGCAGGTGCACGGTCGAGCATGTAAAATTCACCTGGATTCTGCCGTGGCCCTTGCTGCAGAGAGCCCTCTCAACATGTGAGTGATACCATACCTGAATCGCTGGACTGTTAACAGTTTTGTAAAGAACATGAATGGAGGCTGCTGATCAATTAAGCATCTTGAGCACAGCTCTTGTGGTGCAGGGGTCATGCCTCTCTTTCTTGACCTGTGACAGGGGATGTGTTCTAATTTGTTCAGACAGGCTGATTAAAGTTAATTTTTTTTTTAATCAAAATGGATTTGGGTCTTGTGATTCAGTGGTAGTTAGTGTCCCAACCTCTAAATGAGAAGATTTGGGTTGAAGGTCCACCTGCCTTAGAGTAATGTCATAACCTGTCAAAATCGGGGTGATAATAAAAATGAGGGTCAAACATAGAATCAGTGCACAGGAGTTCAGCTCTTGAGCCTGCTCCGGCCTTCAGTATGATCATGGCAGATCCTGAATCACAATGCCATATTCCTGCTTTCTCTTCACACCCCTTGATGCCTTTAATATCTAAAGAATTAAAATCTTGTGATGTAGTGGCAGTATTTCAATACCTAGGCCATGTATGAAGGATACATACTGAAAGCAAAAGATGCTGGAGCTCACAGCAGGTCAGGCAGCATCCATGGATGGAAGGCAAGCTAACGTTTCAAGTTTCGATGACTTCATCAGAGCTGAAGTGAAGAGACACGTGTTCAAATCTCATCATGCTCATGGACTTTCAATGCAGCTGAAGTTCCTGGATTTTAGAAGGTCTTTACAGTGCCCCTCCCTCTGGGCCAAAAAAATCCAGTTCATGTCCCACCGAGGTGTGACCTGAGGTGTCAAAAGAATTTGATTAAGTAATTATAAAAATAGACTTCGCCCCGGAAAGTTGTTTTAAGAGGCCAAATATTAGTTAATTCCTTCATTAATTGTTCAAAATGTATAAAACGGGGCCTTTCCCTTTAAGAAGCTATCATCTAGTTAGTTAATTTTTAATTGTTTGCTCAAAAGTGTATATGAGACCCCTTTTCAAAGGGGTTGTTCATCAGTATATTTAATTTGTTTTATTGTTTCAAAATTATATAAAGAGACTATTAAAGCTGCTCATTGTTAAAGTTCCGTTTTGAGAGATTCCTTAGTAAATTTGTTATCTCTGGGTAATCCAAGATGGAGGACGGGAAAGAATTGTGGCTGTAAGAGCTGCTGCTTTTTTTGAGGTATTTTCAGTGTTGGAGCCGATTTCCTCGAATTCTAGGAGTAGTAATTACTATTTTATAAGCTGTTGCATTGTTTTGGAACTTTGGGGAAAAAAGATCAAAGTAACGGCACTTTAAAAAAGGAGGAAGAGAGACAAAGGCAGTGATCACATGGTGGAAAATACAGAGATGGTCTTTAGTAGAGTGATGTGCTCTTCCTGTTGGATGTGGGAGAGTAGGGAGTTTCCATGTTACAGATGATTATGTCTGCAGGAAGTGTGCTTGGTTGCGAATCCTATCAGATTGCCTGGATCAGTTGGAGCAGTAGTTAGATGTTTAAGGCATCTGGATGGGAATATGAATGGGAAGGGTTTGGAGTGATATGGGTCAAATGCTGGCAGATGGGACTAGATTTGTATAGGATATCTGGTCATCATGGACAAAATGGACCGAAGAGACTGTTTTCGTGCTATATATCTCAGTGACTCTATTTGTTTGACCCCGGTTTGAAAAGGCATTGCTGGGGCACTGAGTTGGTTAGTCAGCAGGAGGCTAATATGTGTGATGCTGCATTCTGTGAATAAACTATGGTGATGAGGATTTCTATGCAGATTTATGCTTCACCCGCTGTCTTAGGGTCTATATTATTAATGATGATAGACTGACCAGTGTCAGGCTGTTAAGAAAGATTTGCATTTACATAGCATCTTCCAAGAGCATAGGATGCCATACTGCCAATGAAATAATTTTCAAGTGTAGCCACTGGCTGCCACATTACAACAATTTGCGCAAAGCAAGGTCCCACAGACAGCAGTATGTTAATGACTACGTTTACACTCTGGGGCAATATAGTTGGGCAATACAGATGGACTGGCCAATGGCAAGTAGAATTTAGTCCTGAAAAATGTGAGGTGATTTATTTTAGGAGGACTGTCCAGGCAAGGTAGTACACGTTGAATGGTAGAATCCAAGGGATCCTAAAAACCTCACAACACCAGGGTCCTGGGTACAATTCTAATCTCGGATGACTGTCTGCGTGGAGTTTGTACAATCTCCCCGTATCTGCATGAGTTTCCGCTTAGCGCTCCAGCTTCTTTCCTCAGTCCAAAGGCATACAGGTTAGGTGGATTGGCCATGCTAAATTGCCCCATAGTGTCGAGGGAATTTTAGGCTAAATTGATTTAGCTATGATGAATGTTGGGTTACAAGGATCGGTGCAGACTCGATAGGCCAAACGGCCTCTATCTGCACTGTAGGGATTCTATGATTCTAAGTACAGATAGTGAGAGGGGCCTTAGTGTGCATGTTCATAGATCCTTGAAGGCAGTGTAATAAGTAGATAAGGTTATAGTAGAAGGCATATGTGATTCTTGCCTTCATTTGTCAAAGTATTGAGTACAAGAAAAGGTGGCTATGATGGAGCCATATGTAATGTTAGGCCACAACTGGAATACTGTGTGCAGTTCTGGTTGCCATATTACGGGATGGCTGGGAATTTGGTTGTGTGGCAGGCAACAGAAAGTAGAGATAATGTGTAGATACTCAATTTGGCAGGATGTCACCAGTGTCACAAGATGTGTGTTAGGGTCTTAATTATTCACATTTATTAACGACTCAGATAATGGCAAAAAAAAGTCATTTCCAAATTAGGTAGCATTGTAGTCAGTGTAGATATTAGAATAAAATTACAAAGAGGTATTGAAAGACTAGGTGAATGGGCAAAACTGTGACAAATAGAGGTTAATGTAAGCAAGTGTGAGGTTATCCATTTTGGACTGAGAAAGGATAGATCCGAGTACTTTCTAGATGGCATGAAGTTAAATACAGTGGATGTCATAACATAAGCACTAGGAGCAGGAGTAGGCCATCTGGCCCCTCGATCCTGCCCTGCCATTCAATAAGATCATGGCTGATCTTTTTGAGACTCAGCTCCACTTACCCGCCCGCTCACCATAACCCTTAATTCCTTTACTGTTCAAAAATTTATCTAGCCTTGCCTTAAAAACATTCAGTGAGGTAGCTTCAACTGCTTCACTGGGCAGGGAATTCCACAGATTCACAAGCCTTTGGGTGAAGAAATTCCTCCTGACCTCAGTCCGACATCTGCTTCCCTTTATTTTGAGGCGATGCCCTCTAGCCCTAGTTTCACCTGCTAGCAGAAACAACCTCCCTGCCTCCACCTTATCTATTGCCTTCATAATCTTATATGTTTCTATAAGATCTCCCCTCATTCTTTTGAATTTCAATGAGTATAATCCCAGTCTACTCAGTGTTTCCTCATAATCCAACCCTCTCAACTCTGGAATCAACCGAGTGAATCTCCTCTGCACCCCCTCCAGTGCCAGTATGTCCCTTCTCAAGTAAGGAGACCAAAACTGCACACGGTACTCCAGGTGTGGCCTCACAAGGACCCTATACAGCTGCAGCATAGCCTCCCTGTTTTTAAACTCCATCCCCCTAGCAATGACAGACAAAATTCCATTTGCCTTTTTAATTACCTGCTGCACCTGCAATCCTACTTTTAGAGATTCATGCACAAGGACACCCAAGTCCCTCTGCACAGCAGCGTGCTGCAATTTTTTACCATTTAAAACATAGTCCATTTTGCTGTTATTCCTACCAAAATGGATGACCTCACACTTATCAACATTGTACTCCATCTGCCAGACCTTTGCCCACTCACTTAGACTATCTATATCCCTCTGCAGACTTTCATTGTCTTCTGCACACTTTGCTCTACCACTCATCTTAGTGTCATCTGCAAATTTTGACACACCACACTTAGTCCCCAGCTCCAAATCATCTATGTAAATTGTAAACAATTGCGGTCCCAACACTGATCCCTGAGGCACACCACTAGCCACTGACCGCCAACCAGAAAAACACCCATTTACCCCTACTCTTTGTTTTCTACTAGTCAACCAATCCTCTATCCATGCTAATACATTACCTGTAATACCGTGCAACTTTATCTTACGTAGCAGCCTTTGGTGTGGCATCTTGTCAAATGCCTTCTGGAAATCCAGACACACCACATCCACAGGTTCCCCATTGTCCACCATGCAAGTAATGTCCTCAAAGAATTCCACCAAATTAGTTAAACATGACTTACCCTTCATGAACCCATGCTGGGTGTTCCCAATGGGACAATTTATATCCAGATGTCTTGCTATTTCTTCCTTAATGATAGATTCAAGCATTTTCCCCACTACCGAAGTTAAGCTAACTGGCCTATAGTTACCTGCTTTTTGTCTACTTCCTTTTTAAACAGTGGCGTCACTTTGGCTGTTTTCCAATCTGTGGGAACCACCCCAGAGTCCAGTGAATTTTGGTAAATAATTACTAGTGCATTTGCTATTTCCCCCATCACCTGTTTTAGTAGCCTGAGATGCATTTCATCAGGGCCAGGAGACTTGTCTACCTTTAGCCCCATTAGCTTGCCCAGCACTGCCTCCTTAGTGATAATGATAGTTTCTAGGTCCTCACTGCTATAATCTTCTTGCCATCAGTTTTCGGCATGTTATTTGTGTCTTCCACTGTGAAGACTGACACAAAATAACTGTTTAACGCCTCAGCTATTTCCTCATTCCCAGTTATTAAATTGGCCTTCTCATCCTCTAAAGGACCAATGTTTACCTTCGCCACTGTTTTACGATTTACATATTTAGAGAAACTTTTGCTGCCTGTTTTTATATTCTGAGCTAGTTTACTCTCATAATCTATCTTACTTTTCATTATAATTTTTTTTATGGCTTTCTGTTGGCCTTTAAAGATTTCCCAGTCTACTAGTTTCCCACTACTCTTTGCTTTTTTTGTATTTTTTTTTCAATCTGATACTTTCCTTTATTTCTTTAGACATCCATGGCTGACTTTCTCTTTTCCTACAGTTCTTCCTTATCACTGGAATATACTTCTGCTGAGCACTGTGAAAAATTGTTTTGAAAGTCCTCCACTGTTCCTCAATTGACCTACCAGAAAGGTTTTGCTCCAATTCTACCTTAGCTAACTCCTCCCTCATCCCATCATAGTCTCCTTTGTTTAAGCACAGGACATTGGTACTGGATTTAACCTTCTCACGCTCCATCTGTATTTTAAATTCGACTATACTGTGAATGCTCCTTCCGAGAAGATCCCTAACTGTGAGATCATTAATTATTCCTGTCTCATTACACAGGACTAGATCTAGGATAGCTTGCTCCCTCGTAGGTTCCATTACATATTGTTCAAGGAAATTATCGTGGATGCATTCTATGAACCCCTCCTCAAGGCTGCCATGACCGACCTGGTTTGACCAATCGATATGTAGATTAAAATCCCCCATGATAATTGCCGTACCATTTTTATGTGCATTAGCTATTTCTGCGTTTATTGCCCACCCCACCACGATGTCATTATTTGGTGGCCTGTAGACCACACCTATCAGTGACTTCTCCCTGCTATTCCTAATTTCCACCCAAATGGATTCAACCTTTTTGTTCAGTAGAACCTATGTCATCTCTCACTACTGCCCTGATATCATCCTTAAAAATCAGAGTGACACCACCTCCCTTACCTTCCTGTCTGTCCTTCCGAACAGTTTGATACCCCTGGATATTTAACTCCCAGTCAAGACCATCCTGCAACCATGTCTCTGTAATGGCCACTAACTCCTATCCATTTGCCATGATTTGCGCCGTCAACTCATCCACCTTGTTTCGAATGCTCCGAGCATTCAGATCAAGTGCTCTTATGCCAGTTTTTGCACCTTCTTTTTGAGTCCTATCACCTCCATTACTAACAGCTCTTGATTTCTCCTTCCCTTT